CCCTTTTTAAAAAATTTTTTTTTTTTTTTTTTTTTTTAGGTATCTATGGGTGTGGACAGATATAACAGTTGTATCAATATCAAAATGTAAATACAACTGTTACAGTCTGTATATCCAACCATTTCCTTCAGCTATTTAGCAGAAAACTTCTCTTATTTCAAAATGTAAATGTAAATGTTTTTAGAAGTTATAATGATAGTCATTAAGGCTCCTGGCAGATATTACATTATCAAGCAATAGATAATGTTGCTCTACCACACTTGTTCTACCAGCACTTTTTAGCAAGGAAGCTGGAGAGCTCCTGGCAAGGGCGGTCATCCCCTTACCACCACCTTCAGCTGTGAGAAGTGAGCTCCAAGCTCACCAGCTGAGCTCCCACTGGGTGAAAAACCTGCTCCCCCAACCATTGCACAGAGCAGAGGAAACCTGTGTGAAAAGCGGAAGGAGGGACAGGAGCAGCAGGGTTTAAACTCTCCCAGGAAACTTTATGAGGTACTTTTTCTCTCTCCCCATCTTATGCCAAAAGATAGCTTTCCAAACAAACAGTCGTCCTCCCCCTCTTCTCAGATTCCTCTTACTGTCAGCAAGTAAAGCAGGAGTGGGCAATTATTTGGACTGGAGGGCCACTTCACAAGGGCCGCATGCATGCACACACACACACGCTCCCTGCGGCTGAGCCAGCCATCTGGGCCTCCTGGTACACACATATGCACATGCACGTGTATGTGCGCGCACACACACACACACACACTACTCCTGTGGCCAGGCTCCATCCCCCATGGGCAGAAACTGGCCTCTGCTCTGGCATTGCAGGGAACACTGGGTGGAAGCAGCCCTGCCTACCAACCCAGTGCTGCGTGGTGGCCAGAGCCACCGCCACAGCTGCCAGGGCCCGAGCACAGCTCACCCCAGGCCTGCTGTGCAGTGCTGGTCAGGGTTGCTTCCACCCAACATTCCCCGGGAGAGATGACATCTGGCCCCACAGGCTCTAGGCGCCACCCACCAGCAGAGGCTGGGGCTTGAATGCAGCTTGCCTAAGGCCTGAGGGGCCAGACTGCATCTCCTAGGTACCATGGGTGATGCAGGGAAGAAGCAGCCCCACACACCCCCTAAGCACCAGGCAGCAAGCCCTGAGTGAACTGCACTTGGGCCACAGCCTCTGCTGGTGCAAACGGTGCTGGGCAGGCTGGCAAGGATGCTCCCATGCAGCATCCTCCATGGTACCTGGGAAATGAAATCTTGCCCCACAAGCCCTGGGCAGGCTGAACTCCATCTCCCAGGCCGCCACATAATGCCAAGCAGGCAGGCAGGGAGCAGCACCAGCAGAGACTGGAACCAAATCCGTCACCCACCACCAGAGTCCAGGGCCCAAGAGCAGCTCATTCAGGGCCAGCCACACAGTGCTGCCTGCCCACAAGCCAGATAAAATCAACTGGTGGGCCAGATCCAAGCCATGAACCATATTTTGCCCATCCCCAAAATTAAACCATGTCATGCTGAGGATTTGTTTACAGTCCAGCTCTCACAGGGAAGAGGTATTAATGGCACCTTAAAGCAGCAGCCTTGGAGGCTGATTGGAAAAAGGGAAGAGAAGCAGTGATTCACAACACCTCTTACTGAGGCACCCTGGGGCAGCAGAGTTCAGCATGAATCATGAAGAGTCACCTTGGGAGCAGTCCATCTTGGGGTGCTAGAGGACCTGTCTAAACGCTATCACCCTACGTGCAACAAATTTAAGTAAGATGCAAACGAGCTGCAAAAATAGTCTACATTTTACAAGTAACATTTTTGTGGCTTGTTATAGGTGATAAATTGCTTGAACATGTGGCACATAGCAATTTTTATTGTGCAATTAGCACATTAGATAAATATAATGTCTGTCAGTGGCCTAAGTTACCAACATTTCCTGCATGGATCATTATCTGAGGCCCTCTAGAATTGCACAACAGCAAAGGGCCCAGATAAGGCAAAAATAGATGACAAAGTCTACTTTCTATAGTGTTTGGAAAAAGGCAAGAGCAGAGTTCTGTTGCTATATATAGACTAACCAGCATTGCCCTGGCAAAGTCTTAGGGCTGTGCTTGGTTTACCTGCCACCTGACAGTACAGAGATGCAAAAGGATTCCCTTTCCAGTCCTAAATCTGACTAAGCTACAGTAGGGGTCCAATTTGCAATTATAATCATAACTAAAGAGTCATGATTTTAAGCTAAACTAATGCCAGGTTTCTTTTGCCCTTCATTCTCTGTCTTCATTCATGACCACCCAACATTGCCAATGTGTCATACCTAACACAGTGCTGGCAAGTAGCCCTTGCCAGAAAAAAAAAATCTCTTCTAGCCTCAATTACTGACAGAGAAATTGAGAGGATAGTTAGGGAAAGACTGGTGTCAGGGTTTGTTTGACTGTCCTCAGAAGCTTTGGGTGTTGGCCGCAGCCAAGGATGGGAATTTTGACTAGGATATGCCAATGCTCCTGCTGGGACTAAAATCCAGAGGTTCCTGGTTAGAGGGTTCCAAAACGATTTGGAGAGATTAAAGGGTCCTCTGATTCTATTTGGATTTGGAGATTCAGCCACCAAATCAGGCAGAATCAAATCAGAAACTGAAGCTTCACACAGTCCTAGAAGACAGCAAAAAAAGGCTTACTGATATAGCAAAATAGAAGTACCCCAGACAGCACAAGCATAAAGCAGAAACTTCATAAATCAATACCAAGGCAGCTAGGGAGTTAAAAAATATTTAGGAACAAAAATCTGTGATCCTTATCTTTAGCAAAACTTCTTATTGATTCCAAGAAGAATATTGCTTAAGGAACACAGTTTGGCCCTTGTTTAGCTGTGAGAAATTTGTATTCTGGAACATACAGTAAACTTGCTCTGGTATAAAAATGAAGTTAGTTTTAGCAGCATTAACATTATGAAAATAGGTAGTTTACAATTCTAGAGAGAGATTTGAAGGTTTTTCAAGTCAGAGAAGTCTTTTCACAAAGAAATATCCAACTTTAGAAACAACCAAGAACAAATTTAACCTTGATATAACTCCACTCAACTCAGAGTTGCACAAAGGATTATAATTCAACACCAAAGTTTACCGAAAATGTCTAATTCAAAAGTGACTCAATTTCCAGGTTAATAAATATTCTGTTCTTTTACAACAGAAAATACAATTATGTGTAAAATATCTATTTGGGCTGTTAACTCATGTTTAATAACCCATGTTCATTAATCCGTAAATGAATTAGGTATGTGCTGCTCAAGTAATTCTGAAATCCCAATTTACCTATTCAAGGTGGAAAATCAATACACACTGCTTGCAGAGATTTTATTTCTTGTGACCAGTTTTATATTCAATGTTGTTCAACTGTTTCCAGTAAACATATTTTTTAAGAAATTAGTTATTATTTGCATGTGAAATACTGAGGGATGAATAAGGTAACAAATTAGTTAACATTACAAAAATATTACAAATTAATCCATTTATATTGACTTGCTTCCAACAGCAAGAGCACACTGTAAATGAATGTAAAATTGTAAAAACCATTGTAAAATGAAAAACCATTATAAACTGAAGAACCTTCTCAGAGGAAAAGTGACTTCACATGTAAAACTAGGAGACAGAAATGGTCTTTCTAGATTTAAAAATTAAATCTTATATTCATGCAACTGTCTCAACTTACCAAAAGAGTGCAGTTGGCTATGCCCCTCCTACTTTTTGATACCATATTGCAAGGAAATAATTTTGTCCTTTTATCTCCTTGTTCTCAGGTGTTCTGCCCTAAACACAAAGAAACAAAGTATTCTTGCAAAAGGATTTTGGTTGCAGAAGTAATGTCAACATTACTTACATTTCCAATAATAAATATAACCACTACCACACTAGAGAAGCGCTACTAAACAGGTTTCGGCAAACACATATGTATTCAGCAATTCAATATGTCTTCTGGATTCTCCACCCTTAGGCAAAGCCATTTAAGATTTCTTATCTGATGGCCATAATGCATGTCAAAAGTGTATTCATTTTTCTCTGCAGCCGTTTTAAGAGCTTATCTGCATGGCTGTTGCCATAAAAAACAGAAAAAATTACAAAACTTTCTTTAAAGTACTTTTGGGATTACGCATCATTAAAACACAAGTCAAAGCAGCCTGTGCCATCTCCTGTTTAATAAATGCAGTGGTACAATGTAAATTAATCCCAAAGCTGCTAGAATTTTCTCTATTCTATAAAAGAATTGCCTATGCAGAGGTAAGATACTTATAGCAGACTAATATATCATGCAACACTGATTATCCTTAATTATCTGATTCAAGTTTAATTCTATACTGCAGACCAGGCAATTGACATTATTTGTTACTTAAATGTCAAGTTTTTAATACTTGAATAGTCCATTTTCTGTATTCAGCTTGCGATTCCTTCAAAAGAATCTTTCATTCTCCGCTTCTCTACCAACAACAAGCTTTTCCATAAGCAAACCTTCTCTTTTTAATATGATTAGCTATTGGGCTTTCTATTTTCTAAGAGCATTTTCATATTTACTTTCCTTCTGCCAACAATATAGTATTCATTGCTAAAGCATTTATACAGTTCTACTATCCTAAAAATCGAATGGAATTGTAAATTACCAACCCCCCCCCCCAAAAGTGCCCATTTTACAGAGTACCCACAGTTACAGAGATTGGACTGTCTTCCTTCAAATAACTGTATAATCCTACACAAATATAGAAGCATATGCTACATAATTACAGATGAGGAGGAGCAGATCTATCAGCACAGAGACTAGGGGATTGAAGCAGAGCGAAGTATTGTTCCAGGAACACCTGTGGCCATATAGCCATTAGTTCAAGTAATTAATGGCTACATGGCCACAGGTGTTGCTGGAACAATACAAGGACTTAATGCATAGCTCATTTCTATAAGAACTGCAGTTATCTCTATAATTTTAGACTTTGGTCTTACAATTACTATGCTGTAAATATCTCTTACTGTCAGTACAAAATGTAAAATACTTCTTTTTTTTTTTTTAAGTTTCTGAGATAAGGGTCAACAATACATATAGTCCTGACTTATAACATTGTAAGTGTTAAGTGGAGTCTGATATGAATGCCACATTAACACATCAACAAAAGGCATTGCTTCCCTACAGAAAGCAATATGACCCATCACAAAACCAGAGGTTATGATGACAGGTATGTTTATCCTGTCATGTTTTATTCACTCACAGTATCTCATTACCCCTCACTGGGAATAAGTCTGTGGGTGTGCCAATTTATTAGGAGAAACAATAGCTATTTCACCAGGCTGGTTCTCCATCTCACCTCAGAATGAGTAACTATAACCCAAACCAGGAAAGCTTGAGGCACAGAAATAATATCACTCTCCCTGAATTTTTTAATTTATTTAAGGTTACACTCTTAAAATGGTTTACAGGTCAGGAGAATGGGAGTAAAATGGCTAGTCCTTGCTACCAATTAAAGTGTTCTGCTGTTAAAACAAAACTGTAACCATTGAGTTAAAAATATGGCAACAAAACAGCAGAAGAACCATAAATATTGAATATTTTGCTACTAAACAATATCAATAAAGCTGATCTTTAGAGGACTCTCTCATTTTTATAGGAGATAAAAGCCACAAGTCACACAGTGGCCACTTACCATTGGAAGAAAATCTTAGAAAGGAAGAGTAGTCTTTCAACAGAAAAGAATGAGGAACTGCAGAGGGAAGGAAAAATCCTTAACGGAAAGGGCTGAAAATTAAATAATTCACAGATGTGCTGAGAAGGGAACTGCTGCTTCTCCTCCTGCAGCTATTGATGCTGGTTTGCTGCTGCCTTCTATACCACACCTGTTCACTTACATGGTGTCATACTCCGTGCGCCTTGGGAGTCTCCTTTTGTTTCCCACCAAGAGTACAGCATATCATATTCAAAGAAGACTTCCACCATGGAACCAACATACCTGAGTGAGAGAGTAAAATGCACTACTAAGTTACAAAACAGTCTTTGTATTTCAAAGCTTTTACAAACCTAAATTTAACTCGTGAATAAACTGTAAGGGCATCACCTATTTTTACTGAACTTGGTGTCATTCATGGAGTAAAAGACTACTACTTTTGTCTTAGCACAAAGAGTATCAAAAAGAAGGAAATCTAGGAACAAACATAGTAGTGATATGAGTCAAAGGAATTATGACTTTTTCCCCTCTATTAAAACAATGTCAAGATAATGATATATTTCAGCAAACATTTCACTTCCTGAAATAAGAATATCTATTCACTTTTATAAAGCCAACAAGTGGCACAATCACATTACAGGCTACAGGATGCTTTCCACATTATAATACAAATACTTTAGACTACAGTATTCCAATCACTTCAGATCATCTCAGATGTAGTGCTCTACAGGAAAACATGTTTTTCTTGTATTGTATTTTCAATCTGTTGAACTATATCTTTACCTATATCTTCATCAGAACATCCCTTAAATTTAAGCCAGTTACCTAGGTTTTTGTTGGTTTACTTTTTTAATCAGGATCAGTACAGCATGCTGATACTCTAGGTCCTATACTCTAGGTTCTGCTTCCTTTTGCCTATTATGTTCCCTATTTCAAAAAGAAAGTAACACAATGATTTTATGAAGTTTACTTTGTTGTCCTATTCACAAATAGGACTGGGAGAGATTGGAGACAAAAAAAAACTACAGGGGGTTCAGTAGATGCCTAGAACCCTGAGATTACATCCTGGCACATCAAGAATTATAAAACTACAGGAACAAATAACCTCAATACAATACTGTGCTCATCTACTCTCCATACATACTTCATATCTTATCTTGAAATGATTTACTGCTATAAAAAACATTTCTAACCATTACTTTTGCAAACAGTGATTTCTGAAAATGGATTATTAAACTTTTTGTATTTTGAGACGTTGTTGCCATGGTAAGTCCCTCACAGCTGAGGATGCCAGTGCCTTGGTGGAGGTGGTGCAGCCAAACAGAGTAGAAATGCAGACATCTGTGCATGCCTAGGCATTATAAACATCTTTTGCTTTGTTGGTACGTCAAAAATTACAAGATTTCAAAAATTTTCCCATTCTCCAACTCCCTGGCCCAATGTATATCAATTATTTATGCAAAATGCAACACCTCTAGTACAGGATATTGAGAAGGACCCTCCAAGAACAACAGAGAGCCTGACAGTCAAGACACTCATCTAGAATTGTGGCTGGCAACCTTTTCAAGCCACAGGCCACAACAACCTGGTTCATCTGACACAGGCCAGGTGGCTTTTGTGGCACATCAATGATGAGGGGACTTTCCTCCACCACTTTCCATGCCAGGGCCAGGCAGCTGGGAGCTGTGCTCATACTGCCACTTCTCCAAGACCCTTGGCTCCCCAGCTGGGGCATGAGTGCAGGTACAGCTTGCAACCTATAGAGAACTGTACCTGGACCAGGCAGCTGGAAGCTGTATCCATGCTGCTGCCACCTGCACCACAGCTGGGAGGAAGGAAGGAAGAAGAAATGGCAACAGCATAGATGGAGCTTCCAGTTACCCAGCCCCAGCACAACTTCTCACCAGGTGGAAGCTGTGGCCCATGTGTAGGCCAGAGGGAGGCTAGGGGGTGGAAGAAAGAAGCGGCATCTCCTTGCTGCTTAGCCACAGCATGGGCACAGGCGCAGGAAAAGCCCTCAGGCTCTACTGGCTGTATCTGGTCCCTGGGCCATATGATGCTGACCCCAATCTAGAACATGGAAGAACCAAAGGTGCACCCTAATCAACAAGCTATTGGTGCTTCTGGGGTCTCTCTCTGACTTGAACCAGAAATACACCCTTCCCCAAACACCATTTTCTTCAAAACTAAGCTTTTCCCATTAAAAGTTTCAGTCACAATAAAGCAGCACTTTCCAAAGAAAATCATTTTACTGAAAAATCCTTAACCAGTTTTAGTTCAGATGCAAGCAATACTTACACTGCACAAGCCAAAATGAAAATAAAGACAACTCCAGCATACAGAACACCTTTAAAAGCAAATATAATGGGTCCTATCCCAAGAGAACAAGCCAGATGCTTCATCACAAAGAAAACAAAGCAACTACCACCCACACCCCCTCCCACAGCCAGTTGCTTTGCATACATTTTACCAAATCATAAATGCATAACAGCAGCTTTCCTTTACACCAAGCAAAGAACATCCAGCATATGTCCATTTTGACAAATAAGGCTACATGGCAACGCTACAAGAATTGCAATTATGTACAAACATTAATCAATGAGATGACCAAATGGCTAATGCATCAAGCCACTCACTATAATTGATAAATAAGGTAAAATAACACTCCAACAATCTTGATAAAAATCAAACAGTAATCAAAAAAAAATCAGCTGTTTAATGTCATTTAAATTATAAAAATATTTTTAAAATACACTTGTATTGAACTTAAGCTAAATGTAATACAAAATATGTTAAAAGATCATATGTTTAGGCCTTAAAATAACTTCATAAAATAAACAGCTAGATCCATGAGCTCCTATCAACAGCTTTGAGTTACAGGCTGAATGTTCTCCTATCTCGTGGGAGGATCACTCAGCAAAATCCAAGCGGTCACA